ATACGTTGTCTGTAGGTTAGTGACTAGCACGAGATCAGTATTTCACTGCAATCCTGCATTTGCAATTCTTGAGGGAACAGTCACACTGTTTCTATTAGACAGACATGTCTGGTAGATATGAACAGCAAAGGACAAAGAATAAGGATATAAACTCTGTAGCTCTAATGAGCAAATATGGCTACTTCCGCCTACAGACCCTGTATAATCACAAATCAGATAAAGTAACAGCGTTTAACACAATTATAACCTTATTGCAATGGCTGATCATCTGTATCTAAAGGAAAATGAGAGTCAATAGAAAACACGCGTTGAAATTGGTTTTGCACGTTTTTACGCACGTTTGCGTGAATTTTTGTCATTTATTTCAATGTGTCACAATCTTCTCATAAACGCCATAGAATCCCATCGCACTATGCCTGATGAAGGGACCGAAATGGTTCCAAAATGTCCCTACGCATTGTGACATACCTTTCTTTTGTCAATAAAGAAGAATTGACAGAATTTGCTTTGGTGTGCTGGTGACTATTTTCTTTTAATGTGCTCATAAAAAGGCGTGACTTAACCACTTGAAGACCGCGGTGTTTCACCCCCTTCCTGGCCAGGCCATTTTTCAGTATTCAGCGCTGCGGTACTTTGACTGACATTTATTCCGTCATGCAGCGCTGTACTGATACATATTTCATACCACTTTTTGGGGACACATAGAGCTTTCTTTTGGTGGTATTTAATCACCACTGGGGTTTTTATTTTTTACTATATAACAAAAAAAGTACCCTAAATTTTGAAAAAAAACATATTTCCCTAAAAAATTTTATGAAACATTTATTTTCACCCCAATTTTTTGGTATAATATAAAAGACGGGGTCACGTCGGGTAAATAGACACAGTATAAAGAGTTATGGACACCGGCACTCCAAAGTAGAAAAACGTCTTTTATTGACGCATCATGCAACAATACACTTATTGCAACGTTTCGGGGTCACACAGGATCCCCTTCATCAGGCAGAACAAGTGAAAATTACAAACAGATATGGACAAGCATTTATACACATCCTTGTATGTGAGGAGACCAATACCACTGCCCAAAAGTGATCCAATTATGTCATTTCCCGCCAAAATTCAAAATACAGTGTTGCTGTATGCATAGAAAGATTGCTCAAAACATAATTCATGGGTTGTGTCGTGTTAATGCTGCTAAGTCTGGGTGGTGCCATGCCTATGGAGAGATGATTTGAGCAGTATTCCTGCTGGGGCTGTGTGTCTCTGTAAAATAGACACTACACAAGTCAACCTTTAAAAATGCGCGTGCCCGCAAAATCGCAGAAAACGACCACAACCAAAATTGGCCATAGGCGACACTTTAAACGTTTTTACCGCTCCTCAGTTTAGTGTTATCAGTGATTGATGGCCCTAAAATAATTGCTCTCACTCCGGCGTTCGCGGCGATATGTAAAATGTGCTGCATAATGGGCACAATTGTCGTTTTTGTACATAGACGCACCCGACGCATGTTTGCGTGTGTATGTGGCTGGGGCAGGGGGACTTTAAAACATTTTTTGTGTTATTTTTTTTAATTATTATTTGTGAATATTTTTTTTACCTTTATTTTTTTTAATGCTGTAATGTTTTTGTTTTTTTTACTTTTTTTTACACAACTTTATTGCTATAACATAGGGGATTAAGAAATCCCCTATGTAATGGCCAGTTCACCAAACAGGTCCTCTTTATGGAGACATCAGTGGTCTCCAAGAACTCTGATGTCACTTAGGGACCCCCACAGAAGCTGATGAAGCAGAGATCTGCTTCATCAGCTTCTCTCCGGTGTTCTGCACTGGAGAGTGACACTGAATGCAGGAAGTGATGTAATATAGATCACTTCCTGCATTCGGGGACAGGAAGAGAGATCAAAGGGAAATCGAGTAATGATCTCCCTTTGATCTGCTGTTAGAGCGTCGCCGTGCCGGTCCCAGCAGCACCGGCCACATCGGATCACGGACCGGCAGCGGCGAAGAGGAGACGGCGGGACAGAGGTACGGGGGGGGTGGAGGCCGCACACCCGCAGCTCCTGCAAGTGATCGCTTGTATGTAAACAGCCATCGCTGGCTGTTTACATGCTCACAGTTTCCCCTCTCGTGTGCGCGCTGAGTGCCGCACACGAGAGGGGGGAGGGACAGGACATCTTAAGACGCCCTCCCACTCCTAGCAGACTTCCGTCCGGCCGTTCACAAACGGCCATGGACGGAAGGTGGTTAATATATGCGCAAAAATGCCCACCAAAAAAAAACGCATGAAAACGCTGTCGCTTAGGTATGAATCAGCCCTTATGCCCCACTCCACCCCCTGCTATTTTAGGCCCCGTTCACACTGAGCGATTTATCGCACGATATCGCTCTATGTAGCTTCTCCAATACATTTAAATGGAGCTGTTCACATCTCGTTGCTCAATATCGCTTGTAGCTCGTCGCTCCTACATGACCCTTTTTTAGAGCGATTTTGAGCGATATTGCTCCTGATTGCATACAGCCCAATAGGAAGACGTCGCTCAATATCGCTCGTCGCGCAATATCGCTCAAAGTCGCGCGATTTTCATGTCGCTCAGTGTGAAGGGGGCCTTACTCTGCAGTCCTAACTCTGTGTAAGCTCCATGTCACCTGGTGTCAGAGACTGACGCTTGCACTCCATCCCTCACATGACAGTGTTTGGCCCTGGAAATTGGGCATTCAAATCTGAACACTGCATCCTGAATAGGAGGTGCCATGCTCTCCCATACCTGGAAGCCCCAATTGTTTGAGGGCCCATTCATAGGGGGTTCATTGGGGTTGGACGCTTTTTCCAACACAAGAGAAGGCAATTTGCATTGTCACGGATGGACACCATTCAAACCACCGCTGAAGAAAGTATGGCATGCAGTACTTTTTTTAGTGCAATGGAATTAATGTGATGTAGTACCACCGCCTCTCACCCCGCTGTGCCCGTAGAACTGAATGAAATATCACTTGTGACATTTCAATAAAGTTCTTTTAAAAAAAAAGTACACACTGCGATGTGCCGCGGGACCAGCGCTGTGCCAGGCACCGACCACCAGTTGGTGTGTTATTTAGTGCAGTGGTTGGTGTGAACGGACCCTTACAGTGGCAAAATAGAGCACTGTGACAGTGAGCATAAGTGGGTCAGGGGGAATATAGATTGAACTGTCCGAGTAAATTGAATGCGGCTTGGATTTATCGTTTAGGATAAACTAGGGTACAAATACTTTTGTCAAGTTTTAACTGCTGTCTGTACCCTAGTTGGGTGGATTTACTTTACTTCCTCTTCCTGTGACAACAGAACAAAAAATGATGGAAGAGGTTGTCACACACATGAAGATAACATTTTCTAATATTCTCCATTAAGGTGCCCATACACCTTACGACTATCGCAAGACCTTTGTCTTGCGATGGTCGTAAGCTCATTGAAAGCTTGTACGATCTGCCCATCTTGGACGGGCAGATCGTACTTGCGATCATCGAAAGCCCGCCCCGCTGAGGGGCGGGCTTCCGATGACCGCAGAGAGGGGCGGGCTTCCGATCACTGCAAACGGGCAGCACACCGGCCCGTTCGGCAGTTGTCGAACAAGCAGGCCACTAACCCGCCGAGAATCGTTTTCCAGCCTGCTTGTTCGATGGAAGACGTGCGACCGTACAGTAGAAGCGGTTGCACACCTTCCATACACTGTACGATTCTCGTACGATCGTGGGATTTCCGGCGATTCTCGTACGAGAGTCGTACAGTGTATGGGCACCTTTACAGTGCAGGGGCTGTCCAACTGCAAGGGATCTTCTTGAACTGCCTGTGTGTGTGTGCGTGCGTGCGTGCGTGCTGCATACAGATTTAATGAAGTGGTATTTTGATCAAATTAGGACTTCCCCTATTACAATATAGAATTTTTCTTTATTTTGTAAAAGTTTGCTCTCATTTCCTGTTGTGGAATTGAAGGGAAATTTGCCCAACATAGCAAACGAAGAAAAAAAAAAAAATAAGACTTTAAGGGGGTTTTGCAATTCCCTACTCTAAAAACGAAAACATTTGGGCTATAAATATACTTTAATGCAGCCCGATAGACACTGTCCTGACAACCTCCAGTTTTATAGCCTTATCTTCACGTACCTGGCTGTTCAACGGGTACCAAAATCAGACCCAGTGCTCTTAGTAATTTACACTGTTTTGGTCTCTGCAATACAAGTCTGTGTGAGGACACATGTGCTTTGGGGTGTGGCTGTTACTCAGCTCTGCCAACAGAGAGCACAGCAGTGTGAGGACACTTGTGATAAGGGGCGTGGCTATTAATCAGGTCTGTCAACAGAGAGCAAACCAGTGTGAAGACATATGTGATAAAGGGGTGTGGCTATTACTCAGCACTGCCAACAGAGCTCAGCAGTGTGAGGACACTTGTGATAAGGGGTGTGGCTATTACTCAGCTCTGACAACAGAGAGCTCAGCAGTGTGAGGACACTTGTGATAAGGGGTGTGGCTATTACTCAGCTCTGTCAAGAGAGAGCACAGGAAGCAGAATTTTCACCAATGAAGGTAATTTAAGGCATTTCCAAGCAAATATCAGTCACAAATCATGACATGTGATACAATTTTTGTCACAACACACTAGGATGCATTGTCATGCACAGCAACGCATGCATACTGCCTCAGCACATTACAGTTCTATACAAAATGAATGGCACCACCATGCATCAACGCATGTCATGTGCATTACTGCAATCCATAGATGTGAATTGTCCCTTAACATGCAGAATAATTTCACTTTTGCACTGGGTACACCTATAGGGACTGTGTTGTAGGGTCACGTCTCAAAAATGTAGAAAAGTCCCTGGAAACCAGTCACTAATGGCAACCACTGTGTAAGCCTCAGCCTGCTGGGACCTATAGTCCCATTACACTGGAAATGCCAAGGCAGTCCAGACCTCTTCGTAGCCATAGACCATCAATCACCTGCAGAAAACACACACCTGAAACTCCAGGCCGTAGATCACAGGGGCGTCATCCTCCATAGTTCCTTGCACTGGTCACCACAGTGCCTAGGCGAATCCTGCTCGTAGCATACACCTGGATCTGGTGGGGCTCCTGTCGGCTTCCGTAGCCGCTCTCCTTCCTGTTTGACAACATTGCTCGCGTGTAAATAAAGTTCATTCATTCATCTGCGCGTGCCTGGAATGACTGGACGGTGGGTCCGCGCATGCGCAGTGACTGCCGGTAGCTCCTGAAAGTGACAGGCAGGGTATGCAGGGCGGCGTTGAGTCCTCGGGGCCCCGGCTGTCAGGTGAGCAGAGGGGAACGGGCAGAGAATTTCTCTCATGTCTGGCTGTGGAGGACCCCGGTGTTATGTGTTCTCTGTGTGTCTCGCTCTCTGCCAGTTCAGGGCTTCATCCCTGGAAACATGACTGCCATTCAGTGTGTACAATGTAACCTGCATGTTATACTCAGTGTTAGGCTGATACATGTTTGCAGGCCCCTATCTGTGGTGTTGTCTGGAAAGCTGCTAATCTTATAGACAAGTATTAGGTGTGTGATGCGTAAAGCCTGAGGATGACCATATGGGAGCCAACATCACTTAATGATAAATCTGAACAGGAAATGGAATTTGTTGCAGATTACCAGCCATGTGTGCGGGATTGATGTGAACCGAGCCTGCGCCAAAGTGTCAGTGACACACCCCTCCTGGTCCAATCAGCTGCGGCCGGGGCATTTCCCAACTCTTTTGTTGTGTGTAGCTGTAGGGAAGAGAATGCCCCAGCCGCATCTGATTGGGACGGGCAATGAGTGTGTCGGTTCACACTGCACATAACTACAGCTGACCAGTCCTCGGATGTGGTTGCTTCATAAGACCTCAATTCAGATGGGGCGTACACATCTGTGCAGCGTGCACACCTGAAAATGGGCCGGTCATGGGAGGGACAGGTGCTGCGTGTAGCAGCCTGTTCTTCCCTATGGGAGGATGCGGCTGTACACTCATCTGCACACCCAAACATCTGCGTGGGTCTGGGTGTCCGCAATTGACCCAGACACACACTGGACACACTCTTATAGATTCCGTTCAGCTCGCGTGCTGAACAAAATAAATAAAATAGATCTCTCCGCCTACACTAACCGCATGGATAGAGGAATATTCATATACCTCCCCTGCATGCTCCGGACTATTCTATGCTATGTTGCTGTCGGAATACCTGAACAGTGACTGCGTCTGATTGGTTGCTGTCACTGGTTGGGTGACAATTTTCTGCATGGCTCCTTCAACAAAAGTACATTGAATAATCGACTTGTGTCAAGCCGGGTGAACACTTGAACTTCAACCAAGTCAGCAGTAGTCGGCCGAGGTTCGAGCCGTGTATGGCCAGCTTGATTTTCCTTTATTTTCACCTGGTGATATGGCCAGTAACACACTTCCTGTCCTGGGGCGACAACGCTTTCTTACTATAATGTATCTGTGGAGGAGCAGTGTTGTCATCCCAGGACAGAAAGTGTTAGGACTACAGAACATCATGGTAATATCTTCTTTGCGCACCATAATAATAGACCCCTTTTAGTTTGGTGCTGGGATAACGGCTGGATGGTGCCGCAGTATACTGATAAAAGGTATATTGTCCACACATCTTAAAGCTTCAAACTGTCATCTTTATTGGCTTTCTTGCTACATGAAGTGAAATTACAATGTTTCGGAACTGCATGGGGAGTATGTGCAACTGGAAAGGGGGTTCATCAAAGTGACACTAAACTCGTTAAATCTTAAAAATCCATTCAAGTACCCGAACTATTACCAAAAATGTATCTTATTTGTGTATCACTCGGCTGTAGATCCTCAAATCATCTCTGAATTGGTGCTGACACTGTCCTTCCTTCTGGAGGGGGGCTACGTTTGTTCCCCATGGGCCCTGTGTGTGTTGTAAAGTAGTTACCGCTCCAAGCTCTCTCCCGTGATGGACTATAATCTCATGTTTAGTTTACTAATTTGTATTGAGATTGTAGTCCATCATGGGAGTGAGCTTGGAGCAGTGACTACTTTACAACACACACAGGGACCATGGGGAACAAAAGTAGTCAGAGTGATGCATGACCTTATGGCTTGCTCCGCCCATTTGTTTACATTCTGGCCGGGGCTATCATTTTGTTGAGTCTTCATCAGGTTTGGACGGGCCAGCACCAATTCAGAGATAATTTGAGGATTTACAGCCGAGTGATACACAAATAAGATACATTTTTATTAATAGTTAAGGTTCTTGAATGTATTTTTAAGATTTAACGAGTTTAGTGTCACTTTAATATATTAATGTTCTGTGTGTGCGATCAACTGTGATAGTCAAACTGGTGCAGTATTGGGTATTGTGGGTGTGGCCCTAAAAGTCCCTTTTGGACTCTTTTTCACCTTTTGGTTTGGCATCCGTTTTTTCCGAACATTGAATCTACTGTCTGTGGACACTTAGTAGTCAGTTGAGTAATGCACTTATGTTCTTATTATTAGTTATTATTATTATTATTATTATTATTATTATTATTCTAGTTACTTGGGCAGTCTGCTGTGTTCACATACAACATGATCAAGGTCTTTTCTTTCTTTGTAGGAACAATGGAGAACCTAGATACCTGCCTAGAAAATGACATAGAATCTGCCAGCAGCATAGCTGAAGTCGACTCTGGTAACATTGTAGGACTACCCATAGACAAAGCTCCAGAAGTGCAGGAGGAGATCCTTCTTCTTCATGAGGAGACCATTGATCTTGATGCCGACACCTTTGAATCTGAAGAAAATGTCACCCTGTCCGAAGATTCTGGAAACTTGCTGGACAAACTTAATGAGCAGATGATGGAAAGTGTGATCATCTCTGACTCCCCCAACATCAGTGAAGACGATGCTGGAGATCTTGGCTGCCTTCAGGACATTGTTGATGAAATTGAAAGCAGTGACACTATGGTAATAGAGCAAGACACAGATAAAGAATATAATCCAAGTGTAAATAGCAAAAATAGCTCGGAGTTAGATGTTAGTCCTGAAAACTCTGCTGCAGACAAGTTGCCTGTGATTGACACCCCTGCCCAACTTCAGGATCAGGTGAGTGAGGTGGATGAGGGGATCATTCCTAATGTGCAGGCGCCTGAAATTGAACACAAAGAAGATTCGGTTATTCCAGTCATTACATCTTCTCAAGCTGAGGAAACCATCCCGGTCTGTACCATCTTCAGCCAGGCTAATGCACAACAGTCCTTTTTAGTCCACCATGGCTTTGAATCTCAAATGGTCAAGTCGCCAAGCTTTGGAATTGAATTTAAAAGCACCTTAAAGACTCAAACACACGTTGTCCAGCCCAGTCCAAGCTTAAGCAACTTTTTCTCTGATAACGGGGGCCCTAATTCCTCTGGTTCAGACTTTTTTGATTCCTTCACCACCTCCTCAATGTTTATCTCGGTCAGTAATCCAAATGCAGCACCTTCTGTTGCGGAAATAAGCCCAGCACCTGTAACTCCTGATGCGAGCAGTTCTCAGACCCCTCCTGCCGTCAGTTTCTATATGGGTAATATGGCTTTAGATTCAAGTGGCTCGTCAGCTTCTGTGGAAATACCTCCGTCCCCAAAGCCCTTCTCACAGATCCAGAGTGTGTTTGCTGGAAGTGATGATCCATTTGCCACTGCCCTAAACATGAGCGAGATGGACAGGAGAAATGATGCTTGGCTGCCGTCTGAAGAAACCAGGAACATCCTCATCTCTGTAGCCACACAGCAGTACAACCCTGTGTTCGTTGATAAGGAGAAGCTTACTATGCCAGGGCTAAAGTTTGATAATATTCAGGTAAGTGGTTAAAGGTGATAGATTGGTGCTGTTTGTGGGCTAGAATTATGCTTTTCTCTTCGACTTGACTAAAATAGGTAAATATAACTGGAATGGCTTTCTCAAGAGACAGTGAGGCTGTAGAATGGCTTTGCTGTCTGTAATATAGAACTGCTTAGAAATATGTCCGTCCTTAAGCTGTTCATAGTAGATCTAACCCTGTGTTTTCTATTCTTTGCATACCTTTTCAGAGGTGTGAAAATAGTCCAAGGGCTAAAGCGGGGGTCAAATCTACTTGTCCTTCATGACAATTTACTTGTCCCAATACAAAAAAAAAGTATTTTGCTTTCAGTACTCGCTATCGCTTTCAGTATCGGTGCTTCTGTTGGCATGGAGCAGGCTTCCCGGGCAATCAGGAAGCCGGGCAGCGGGTAATGAGATGCTACCCGGCTTCCTGACTGCCAGGGAAGCCGACTCCATGTTGTTTGGCCAGCTCGATTGTGAATGGCTGGGAAGCCGGTTTCCCGGCCAATCAGCATCAAGCCAGCTTGCTAGCCAATCAGGAAACCTGGCGGAGTGTAATGACCTGATTGGCCGGGAGGACGGCTCGAGGCTGATTGGCAGCCAATCAGCAAGGAGCTGGCTTCCCGCCCAATCAGGAAACTGGGAGGCGCGTCATTAGTCACTGCACCGCTTCCTGATCGCACGGGAAGCTGGCTCCATGTTCCCCTACAGCACTGCCGGTCGGAGGAAATCTTCATCTGACCGGAAGTTCCAGTATTGGGGATGGTATCTGAGCATTTGGGCGAGTACAAGTACTCGCCCAAATACTCCGTATCTGTGCATCCCTAATCAGAACTGTATTTGACTGCTAAATAGCGCTTCTCATTGGTCAGCGTGGTCATCTGACCAATGAGTGCTTGCAATTTGCCAGCAAAATTCAAAATGCATAGGGTAGGACTGCGCTGGACTGTACGGGGTAAGGACACCTGTACTGGCGGAGGGTAAGGACTGTTGGCAGAAAGTTAAGTATAGCTGGCAGGGGGGGTGGGAGAGATCGGGCCAGATTTGATCGGGTAATTCCATTTTCCTGTATTACCTGGGAAAGTGAACTTACCCTTTAATGCACATTGTGCGTGTGAGAGAGTTCTGCTGCATGGCTACCACAATATGGCACACAGTGAAATGGTGTCAGGACTCAACAAACACAATTTCCTATGCGTGCGTTTATTAGTATGCAGATGGCAGGGGCAGCGGAGTTGGTTTTAATTACATTTTTTTTAGTTTGTCACTTATTTTTTTTTAATTTTTATATATTTTAGTATTTTGTAAAAAAATTTATAACTTTAAAAAAATGTTTTTTCATTTTTATAATTTGCTACTCTCCCCCCCAACTTAATTTTATTCCTATCACAGAGGATGTTAAAATCCTCTGTGATAGTTTGGAGGTGACGGGTTCTCTTTATGGAACCTGCCCTCCAACACAGAACAGAAGTTCTGTGTAGTTCCTGACAGCCGAGACAGGTGGCGCTGTGATTACAGCGCCACGCTCTCAGTGATAGCAGAGAGCAGACGAAGAACGGAAGTTCTTCGTCTGATCTGCGGGGGGGCGAACAGGATCGCCGCTGATTCTAGCTTCATACAAGTGATCTGATTAGATCACTTGTATGAAAACGAGCGGCGGCTCCACAATATGCATTTAGCTCTGCTTGTCCGGCGCCGGGCTAAATGTATTAGAAAACTACTCGCCCGGTGCCCGAAACTGCATGTCCCAGGCGTCGGGCGATAGGAATTCCACACCCCTGCTTTTTTTGTTTTAATTCTCCTCCCCATTCGTTTCACATGGCCATTTTCACTAAGAGAGGGTAAATCCATCTTACTTTACTCCCTGAGACTCTGGGTCTGCCTTCTGGAACATGTGACCGTGCACATCATCTCAGGGGGGAACAATGCCTTTCAGTTTACAGATGATATTTCACAGGAGGGCACTGGTGATGTGAGGTCAGGGCTACATCACCATTGCCTCACTCAACCAGGAAGTGGGAAAACAGTAATTGTAACTAAAACCAACAAATGTTTGTTTACCTAAAGTAAGATGATTTCATATTGGCATGCAGAGCTGCATGCTGATGTGATTTTTAGTGAAAGGGATAAAGTTCTTTAAAGTGACATTAAAGGATAAATTACCCCCCCCCCCCCCCCCCATGCCTGTGTAAGGACTTACCTTAAATGATGCCTCTTGATTCGATCATCTTCTTCTTTCCAGTAGGTTTCAGCTGTCCCTCCAATGTTGGTGTCGGTCTCTGATCCAGCGCTGATTGCTGTGTCCTCTGTGTCCCACGGAGTCTGTGCGGGTGCACGCTGCCTGCATAGACTTACCTTGTGTTTCTGCCGCATGCTCCCGTCTTAAGATCTGTACTGTTCATGTGCCCGCCCCTTCCTTCTTTGCGTCTGCCCGGGACTTTTTAGATCTTCGGACAGAAGCACGCGGCGGAGACGCAGGCAATTTTTTTTTTGTTTGTTTGTTTTTTTAATTTTTTACCTTTTTCGTAACTTTTTTTTTTGTGTTTTTTGCATATATCTACTGCTTGCTAGCAGTAGATATATGCAAACAAAAACCAAGGGTTTAATTATCCTTTTAAGTGCATGCCTTTGTTGGGTTATTTATACTGTATAGTCCGCTTTAGGCTGGCTGGATCTTGCATATTTGGCAAATACATGTTTCATATTTACCCTTTTTGAGTCGACGGCAAACATGAGTTTGGCACTCCAGGGGTTCAGATGCCTGGTTTAGTGCCGAGCTCTATTAATAAACCTAAGTGGCAGACACTCAAGCTGCACATACAGCTGAATTACGTCACGTGTGTCATCTATGCTAACGTTTTCTGGTTTATGCAGGGTCCCTTCATCACGGCGGCATAATGATGATGGTTGCCCTGAAGAAGGGACCTTGCGTGGCTCCAAAATGTTGGCTTAGATAACACATGTGATGTAACTCCACGCTTTAATTCGTGTGAGTTCACGCTTTAATTCGTGTGAGTGCTGATGAATTTCCATCCAATACTTTGTGCAACAGTGTGCCGTCCATGTCACAATAACCACAAACAATAACAATACGGTTGCAATGCTGTATGGAATGCAGGCGATTCATAAGACTATATGACTCAGAGAAGGGACATCTCTCTTCTCTCCTGCAGAGGCATTGCCATCTAGATCTTCAGTCTGCAGAGATAGTCAACACATGCAGAGCTAGTGCTGGGCTATGGTATTATACAAGCCAGACAAGCTCACTCCTGTGATGGACTACAATCTCAATACAAATTGGTAAACTAAACATGAGATTGTAGTCTATCACAGGAGTGACCTTGGAGCGGTGACTACTTCACAAGACACACAGGGACCATGGAGAACAACAGTAGCCCCCTCCAGAAGGAAGGACAGTGTCAGCACCTATTCAGAGATGATTTGAGGATCTACAGCCGAGTGCTACACAAATAAGATACATTTTTTAAATATTGAAGGTACTTGAATGTATTTTTAAGATTTAAAGGAGAACTATGAGGTGAGTGCTTTTCACTCACCTCATAGTTCTAGCCGACCTGTGACAATGAGACTGTCACAGGTCGGCTCAGTAGATCGGGAAGTGAGCGAACACATACCGGCGTTCGCTCACCTCTCGATCCTGTCACGGCTCTCTGCCGTGACAGGGGAGGGGCTGGAGTCTCCCCGCTCAGATCCGCCAGCGCTGACTGGCGGAACGGACGGGAGAGGGGGCGGGTACAGCTGGCTCTGCCTCTTGATAGGCAGAGCCAGCTGTCAGTCACGCAGCTGGGCGGATCCCGGCACAATTGTGGGGATCCGCTTCAGCTGCGGCGTCTCAGTATACTGCGAGCTGTAGCTCGCGGTATACTGAGCCTAGGGTGACGGGAGGACGCTAGTTTGTGTCCTCCCGTTACCCTAAGGAGAGCTATGGGGAAAAGCCCTAACCCAATAGTTCTCCTTTAACTCCTGAGTTTAGTGTCACTTCAATATATAAATGTTCTGTGTGTACGATCAACTGTAATAGTCCAACTGATGCAATATTGGGAAGCAGATTTGCTCTGGTCCCCTCCCGTAGGTATAAAATGAAACCGCACTGGTTCTGGCTTACATAAGACTTACACTGCTTTCTGTATATTTCAGGGAGACGCTGTACGGGATCTCATGTTGCGCTTTCTTGGTGAACAGGCGGCCATGAAAAGACAGGTTCTCACCGCCAACTCGGTGGAGCAGACATTTCTGGGGCTTAAGCAACTTCTTGTAAGTATCTGTGGTTTCTCTCTGAACTTTTATAAAACCTTTTATGCAAAATGTTAGAATTCCAAGAAAACTTGTGAGTGAATATTGTGAGCCAAAATGTTCAAAAATGAAAAAGGTTTCTATGCTTGGACTAATAATCTACATTTGATGGGAACTTGCATAACACATGGGGCTTCAGCACATACCCGTTATTTCACAGATAATATACAAATATCAATCTTTATTACTATTTGCCAAAATGAAGTGAAACACTAAAAATAAAATTATAGTATAATGAAATTAAATTGATAACAGGGCTCTCATTCATAATCAAACATTCATAGACTCGTCCACACTGATAATAGTAGCCAATGAGTTGAAAAGACTAATGTAGACATAGAAGTATATACTGTATATGTAACGTTGTAAAGTCCCAGCATATCCTCTCCTGTTATATATCAGCACTGTAATAGGAACACATTGAGTTGTTTTTGATAATGCAATCAAAGCTTACTTGAATAAATCCCTTTTATAATCCTTGACTCGGACCTCATCTTTCTGCCCCACATCCAATCACTTTCCAAATCCTGCTGCCTTCACCTTCATAACATCTCCAAAATACGCCCCTTCCTCACCAATGAAACCACAAAACTACTCATACACTCCCTTGTTATCTCTCGTCTTCACTATTGCAACTCCCTCCTCATTGGCCTTCTATTACACAGGATATCCCCCCTTCAGTCTATCATGAATGCTGCTGCCAGACTCATCCACCTGACCAACCGCTCAGTGTCTGCAACCCCTCTCTGCCAATCCCTACACTGGCTTCAATCCCCCGCCCCCCTCTGTCACTCCCTACAATGGCTTCCAATAGCCCAAAGAATACAATTCAAAATATTAACAACAACAACTTAGCCATCCACAACTCTGCATCTGGCTATATCTCAAACCTTGTCTCATTATGTCACCCTAACCATCCCCTCCACTCTTCCAAAGCCTCCTGCTCTTTAGATTCCTTGGCAGCTCCTCCCATGCTCTCCTCCAGGACTTCTCTAGAGTCTTCTATCTTCTGGAACTCTCTACTCCAACCTGTCTGGCTATCTCCTACTCTGTCTGCCTTTAGTCGATCCCTGAAGACTCATCTCTTCAGAGAAGCCTATCCCACCTCAACCTAACCACTGAACTGTTACTTTCTCAAACAACTCATTCCCACACAGCTACCTCCTCATGTATCACCTACCCTTCTCTTTTTGATTGTAAGCCCTCAGGGGCAGGGTCCTCCTCACTATCTTGTCTTTAATTGTATTGTAACTGTAATGTCTTCCTTATATTGTAAAGTGCTGGGCAGACTGTTGACTCTATATAAATCCTGTATAATAATAATAATGTAGCCTTCTGTCTGCCCATCACTTTCATCAGCTTCCTGGATTCCCAGTGTGCTTTGTGTCTCTTTCCCTGCTGCCTGAAGTGATGCAATCTCGAGTTCTCAAGACTATATATCCCATGATGCATTGCTTCCAGCAAGCAGTGACAATGATACATTGTTCAGAAATGTAGTTCAGGCAGGCTCCTTGAGAGTGGTGACACAAAGAAGTGCATATTCACAAGGCTGAGTGAGATTGTGTCATTGGATTCAGGAATTCCATCCTATGGGCATCGTCAGTAAGTAGGTTTACAGACTTCTTTGAAGGACATAGTCATTCGAAATGGGATAGACTTTATGGAAATCCAATATAGAAATACAGATTTATTTTTAGTTTTTGACCATAGATCTCCCCTTTATGCCTATATTATACCAAAGCCATTGGCTACTATTACTGGTGTGGACATATCTATGAATGTTTGTACAAATGGGGTCCTGCTGCATTCATTTTATTAGTGTTTCCCTTCATTTTGGAATCTATGATTAAATATTGGTATCTGTGTGACAATGGTTATGTGCTGCCTGTGTGTTTTATATAACATGCACTCGTCACTGGAGCGCACTGTTCCTCCTGCATTAGATAGCAATGTTATTACTAGAGATGTAGTTATACTAGTATTGGTGCCGATACCAAGTATTTGGGCAAGATACCTTCCCCGATACCAGAACTTCCGGTCAGAGGAAATCTTCCACTGACCGGCAGTATTGTTGGGGAACATGGAGTCGGCTTCCCGTGCAATCGGGAAGCCGGGTGGCGAGTAATGATCCGTCTCCTTGTGAATTGGCTGGGAAGGCGGCTTGATGCTAGCGGAAGCACCGGTATCGGTACTCTGCATCGGTGAGTGCCGAAAGCAAAATATTGGTACGCGATACCAAAAAAACAGTATTGGTGCATCCCTAGTTTTTACAAATAAGATTCTGTACTGCATCCATCAAATTTTCTTTTCTCTTCATCCTTTTTCTTTTTTTCTCCCCTGGCCATCAGTTTCTCTTTCCAAGTGATGGCCAACCTACTATACATTAGGCACTTTTGCCCAACAGATCTACCATCAATCTGCACAGTACAGTTTAAAGCTCACCACAAACTTTACAGTCTGACTATACAATCTCTTTACAATCAACCAGGGCATCAGATTTATCGGAACGGTGTAATATGAGGACCTACTTACACTGTCAAACCTCTTTCAATGATAAATCCAGATCAAACAAATAGACATGGCCCAGCAAAGTATTTCTTTACATTGGTGACTAAACACTTACAGTCCTCATATTTCTGAACAGCTCCAACTCTCTCAGCTCGGCTTCCCTGAACTTCCTGTCCAGTACAAGATCACAAGGGACGGAGCAGTCTCCAGCAACTGTTCATCTACTCTCTTGGAGAAGGGAGCAGAGTAATGATTTGCCTTGCTGTGCCTGTGTATTTGTGGAGACACACACGGGTGGCTCCATAGGATCCTGCAAGGGAAAGGAGTCACCCTATACAGGATATCAGGGCCAGTACTCAGGAGACCAGCTGGTTCTGCAGGAAACTAAAACTTTTAAACATCAAGGAGCAGCGTCCATTGTAGGTGATTTCATCAGCATTGGAAATTGCTTAAAATCCTTGTGACTTTATTATCACTTTAAACTATCTGCTCAATCTGTACTCGGTCAGGGCGGCCATTGCACTCCATACTATCCCACTTGATAGAGCCAAAGGAAATTGTTCAGTTAAATTGTAATGTGTGTGGTGAGCCTTGGTGTTGCTATGAGCTCTATTTTTTATATTGTCGTACTTGTTTCATTTATGATTTACTGTAATGAGAAAAATGTGTGAATCTCGGGTGAAAACTTTGATGATTAGACCACCATATCTTTAATCTTGCTTTGATGACTCTAAGGGCAGAGATGCCAACTATGACAAGGTTCTCAGTGATATGCACTGTAGTTGTATTTGTCTCATGATTTCCAGTCTGCAGAAGTCCATTACTGCCGACATGTTCCAAATCAGTGACTCAGTGTTGGTGGGTAAGGATAGGCATGACAGCCAGGAAATCAACTTTGTCAGATTGAAACATTGCAATAGCAGGCTCAATTTTCAGTTCTAATAAAATGTATATATTTGCAGGTCTTGAAAAAGTCAAAAATGTCACCAGTCAGCATGACCGGACTATAGCCTGAATAGACACTAAACATGTCAAGCCTTAAAATTGCGCGCACCAGCAAAATCGCAAAAAACGACCACGACAATTGGCTGTAGGTGACTCTTTAAACGCTTTTACTGCTCATCAGTTTAGTGTCATCGGTAATTAATGGCCCTAAAATGATTGCTCTCACTCCAACGTTCACTGTAATGTGCGGAACAATATGCGCAACCATCGTTTTCGCACGTAGGTGCACCCGACGCATGTTCGTGTGTGTTTGGGGGGGGGAGAGGGCAGGGGACTTGAAAAACAAAAATGGTTTGGTTTTTTTTTTTTTATTTTTTATTCCCCTTAATTTTTTTTTTTTTACACTTAACTTTATTGCTATCGCATAGGGAGTTAAGAGGCTCCCTATGTGATAGCCAATTTACATGACATGTCCTCTTTATGGGCAGAGACCTGCTTCACCAGCTTCTGAAGCTGGAGAGTGACATCTGAATGCGGAAGTGATGTAATATACATCACTTCCTGCATTCGGTGACTGAGAGAAGATCAGAGGGAGATTGTGTACTGATCTCCCTTGGATCTCCTGTCACAGAGCAGCCGTGCCGGTCCCGGCCACATCGGGCACAGCGGATCTCGGGATCGGCAGCGGCTGCGGGGGGTAAAACCGCAAACAATTGCAAGCGATCAGGCGTCTCTAGAGATACCTGATCACTTGAATGTAAACAGCCATCAAAGAAGCTCCTGGCCGGCCGGGAAGCTACTCATCCGGCTCCGGCCTCCTCTTGTTAACAGACGAGAGGATGAGTGGATTTTTCAAGCCCTGTATATTTGACTCATTGAGGTCTCTTCCGTGTCTTCCAATTAGTCCTGTAATGTGCTGAGTGTCCTTGTTGTTCAGGTGGAAGGGTCAGGATGTGGAAACCGGTCAAGTATTTACAGAAATGTCAAGATGTGCAAATACATTTAGTTTCTGTTATCTCTGAATCTTCTGTTCATTTTGACTTGTTTATGTATTTTATTGAAGGTAACCTTTTATTTATGAATTTTCTTATGTATTACCAGTCCACATTGTCCTGGTTTAGGAAAGGCCGACTTTAAAGCTAAACTCCAAGCACAAAAACTTTCATTTACTTTTATTCCTCAATAGCCACAAAGGAAGCAGATTAAATCACCTTTGTGTGCAATAAAGGTCTATGCAGACCTAGATGTTTCCTTGTAGCAGTCACATCATCACTGTGCTGCATATAGGTTGTATAGGGAGCAGAGCTGTGGGGAGGGGCCCAGCAGGCTCCACCCACCACAAGCTGATGATAGCTACAGGAGGGGGCGGATACAAGACCACTTGCCCTGCACAAGGAGAGAGAGCAGCGGTGACCGATCCTTATTACAGGAAGTTCCTGCACAGAGGAAAAGTGTCACACTGGATCACTGCACAGATCTGGATGAAATACACAAAGCACAGCAAGATT